GGGGAGAGAGGGGGGGGGTGGCTTCGTTGCGATTTAAATAAGAAAGAGCTCCTTCCCCGCGAGGTTACATACCAGCGCCGTGTTAAAAACAAACAAACAAACAAACAAAAAACCAACCCAAACCACCAAACCTCAAAAAACCCCGAAAGTTAAAGCGGGCGGACAAAAAGGTTGTCCCTTCCTCCCATCTCCGCCAAGGGAACAGCCCGTTCAGGGGACACACCGGCCCCCGGCTCAACTTCTCGTCGCTTGGGCTGCTGCAGAGCTACACGTTAGGGAGGGAAATGTTTCGGGCGAGGTTTTGTTGGTTTGGGGTTGGGTTTTTTTTTTTTGCCCCGTGGGTTTTAGTTCAGTTGCCAAAGGCAAAAGGCGATGGGTCGTACCTTTAAGCTGTCAGTAGCCTTAATTTTCATAATGTGGCAAAATGAATTTAAATAAAATTCACGTCTTATATCCTAAATCAGAGCTTTTAATGCATAACGCTGAGATTAACCTATGATACCAAGTAATGTAGGTTATACGTATTTATTGTATCTTGGTGGCTATGGGAACTGCTAGCTTTGTCCTTGGCTGGGCGATGTTTAACACTAAAGGTTGCTATTAACTTCACTACATTTCATTTCACACATACACAATAAACTTGGGGTAGTTTTAAAATTTGTGGATTTAAGCATCGCTGCCACCAGTCAGCCACTGAAATGTGACTGCTGAGGTGACCCGACAGTTTAACATGACAAGAAGTCGGTGGTTTGTTCTTTTGATTCCGAAAATAATTATCTGTCTGACTATATATGATATAAAATATGAATATTGTCGAAGCTTCTGACCACTTACTGCAGTTATTTTCTGTAGTTATTAATGTGTACTTCATAAATTATAAAAGGAAGGAACACCTTTTCATCACTGACTTTTATTTTTATATGTATTGAGTTGTTCTGGAAAATTGAGATTAAAATCACCTCATTAAAATTATGATTGATCATTTGTCATGATAATGGTACCGTATGATATTGGTGACTTTTACCAAATTACTGTTTTCTAGATATTTTCTCCTAATTAGGGGGTACTATAACAGCATCTGTTGAACTCTGCTTGTTATTTCAAATCTTTCAAACTACAGTTCCTTGTCACGTAGCGCTCGTGTTAGCCAAAAAGCCAAATGGTGTTGAAAATCTTTGACTGCAGGTACTCGCCCACGCCCCTAAAATGTAATTTGAAGCAAAAAACGAAAAGACAGAAAACCAGAAAGTTGCCATATATAAATGTCACCAATAATTTCTTTTCATATGGTGAAAAGTGTGAGTTAAAATGCACATGCAGATGCATATACACACAAAGTGCTTGTATTGTTATCACTTTATATTTCTTATTATATAGTGATAGTTCTTCCACACACAACTGCTCATGAATTTTAAACTTTTATTTTTTAATATCTGCTTATTGCGCTGGGGAGCTAGGAAAAAAAATGAAGCTGAGTTGATTAAATTATTTATCCCTGCTGCTGAAGTGAGTTTGAAGGCTCATTGAATGTATCTGATTTCTTGGCTCCTCTTTCTCCCCTTCCCCCCTCAATTCATCCTGGTTATTTCATCCATATCATCCTGCCAGCAACAATAAATTTACTTTTTTTTCAAGTAGGAAAACTAAAGACAGATATTTGTGTCGAGTTTGCTTTAAGTGTCACATTATATAAAATAGGCAGCATCTTTTCTTTTTTTTTTGTGATAGATGTTGATGCTACCTGCAATTTTCTCTATTCTTATTTGGTAGTTTACGTTTTGCCTCCACTTTCAAATTTAGGAACAAGTGAAAAGTTAAGTTTAAATGTAAGTTGCTATAGTGTTTTCAAAAGTGCAATTTTAATGAATTTATACACTTCAATATTTAGATTTTATAGTATAAACTTCTGTATAATTAGTTATGCAAACATTTTTCTTCCGTTAGCTAGTTTTCTGCAAATGTTTTTTACTTTTTTGAAAAAAATGTGATATAGCTCCTTTTTACAGTGCACAATTAGCATTCATTAGTGCTACACTTAACACATATGTATTCTCTTCCCATTAAAATAAATTAAAAAAAAAACATGAAAAGAGTTTGCATTACTGTTGGACTTGGTGATCCTAGGTCTTACAGATGAACTGTTAATGCTTTAAATTCCCCTAATCTGCAATCTGTTAAGGGAAAAAACAGTAATTGCTTTGTTTTCTTTAAAATGTTACATCTCAAAAGTAAACATGGAGCTCGCACAACTGTAATTTTAGCTAGAACTGCAGAAACATTCAAGCAGGAAAAAAATGCATTGAATTATTCATTTGGTTCACTTCTCCATCAGCTTCCCCAAAGCCAGACATTCCTTAAAGTACAGCATTTTATTTAAGCGGTCCAACACTGGTTTTTTTTTTAAAGATCTCCTACTTGGAGAATGCTCTTTTCTGCTGAACTGCGAGAGGAGTGTGGAATCAGGGGGGATTAGCGCCTTTTAATCTACTACATCTGTAGTGGGTCATCCAGCACTGCAGAACTCTCATTACTCTCTCATGCTGTATATGATTAAATGACTGAAAATATTCAATGTTGACCTTGAAAATAAAGCTGTATGTGTTGGATGAGCAGCTTCCAAAGACTTCATGTCTAAACTAACCTTTCCTCTTGGTAACTTCTGGCCCTGGAATATGTTGTCTGAGAGAGGACTAGAGCGTTAGAAAATGGAAGTCGAAACCGAAGTGTGGAAGCATTTGAAATGCATCATTATACAAATTATGGCATCAGTCAGCTTGTTCGTGCTATGTTTTATAAGTAACCCAGTATCTTATTTGCCCAGTTGAAATGGGATGGTGGCACGTCCTGAACATACTTATTTTTGTGACTAGTGCTTTTCTGTTAGCTGGTTTCATATTGACTGGCAAACTAAACTACATCATCTTGTAAGTAGATGCTAGAGCTGTTGAAATCAGCAGAAAACGTGTTGCTTGACATCTTTGAACACTAGTCTATATAAAGCTATAAGTAAGCACCGTCTTTTCATATGAGTTTTGTCATATTCTGTGTTTATTGCTAATTTCCATGCTGCCAATACTTCGGGCATGTTAAGTCCTTCTAACTTAAAATGAAACTTGTCCTCTCCTCTTACAATAGTACAGTAAATTACCTGTGTAGCTCACTTTATCTTGATTTAGCTATAAAAAGACATGCCTAACATATTTCAGTGCAGACTTCTATGTTTTAATGTAGTGTTTAGCTCTCCGATATTTTCTTTCCAAATAACGGTGAAGGGAGGAGTTGAGTGAGTTGGTCGTGAGTGATTAATACGTTTCATTGAACCTTATGAAGGCCCCGATCCTGCCAACCCACACATGGTTAGCGAAACATTCAGCTGGTTCTGGTGAGGTTGGGGGCTTCTTCAGGCTCACAGCGAAGTGCGTGAGCAGTTATTTGCAGGATCGGGGCCAAAGCGGGATAACACTTGGAGGTTAACATTTGAATAGGATGAAATACAGTGCGCCTGTAAAATATCTAATGCATCAAATAACATGCGTTGGTGAGGAAATGTATTTGTGGCCCAAATATCTACTCTTCTGTCAAGCAGAACTTCCCTACTCATTTCATTGTGTTTTAGCTATAGTGTTGTATTGGCTTTGTGAGGAAGGACAGTGCTGTTTTGTCCATATTTTAATAAGAGGCTCCCACAAAAATGTTTTCGCTAATCTGCTCTAAAGCCTTTGTGAGGAGGGTGAGGTTATTCAGAGAAATGAGTGAAAGATTATGCTTTCAAAATCTGTATTAAAACTGTATTTTTCATGTATTTTCACCCATTCAGGCCTGTTTCTATAACTGCCAAAAGGTATAGAATCTTTTAAAAGTCTTAAATATAAGCAACCTACTTGCTAAAAACGCTTATTCATTGTTCCTAAAAAAATCCTACCTACAACTGTAATATAAACAGATCAGCCAACTTATTATTTAAGGAAAAAGCGGTGAGATCGGTTCAGGAAAAACTTGATACTTAAATCTTTTGGCCTTTAAAATGTATTGATTTTCCCACCACCACTCTGAACCTTTTTTTTCTTAACTGGTGGAACATTGTCATTGTAGAGAGTAATGTTTTATCTAG